GTTGTTGAAGAACAAGAATTTCAACCAATTCAAGCTGTAGGTCGGGCAGCTTTTATAGAGGAGAATTTTTAGAGAAGGAAATGTGCTTATTAATTCAATGGTAAAAGTGAAGTGAATGTAAATAAATGTTTTACCTGGAATACGTCTGATATAATGGTCTTGTTTTTAATTTCTATGTGGTAGCAAGACAATACTTGTTCAAGTAGTCATACATCCCAGAAAATGTTCCATTTTAAAATACCTCCACATTGCATGTAATTCTTCCTAATGCTGATTAATAAGCATTTGCACAAATAATATGAATTTGAACTTTGTTGACGCAAAGTAATCTGCTAGCTCTTCAGCTTTCTGGATTGAGATGTAGGATTTGCCCGTTGTCGGGTTTCGTCCGTGATATCAGCGCCGCATTCCAGCGGCCGGACGACAATCGGTCGCCGGACGCGGCTCACGGCCGCTACCGCCACTTTGCGGCAAATCTACTCGAGTGTTGTGTCAGAGTTAAGTGTTGGTGTCCAATTCATAGCCGAACTTGGCGTTAGACAAAGTTCGAACTCCATATTCGGAGTTTGAACTGCGCCAAGGCAGAATCCTCAGATATTTTAGAACAGTGTCGGAAGCAGTATCTAGTGCGCTCAGACACCTGTACCAATTTCACGGAAATCCTCCCACACATCTACTGCAAGAGGTTCATCAGCAGCCGTATGTCGAACCAATGAAACACATCAACTCCAATAATGAACACAACCCCGAACTGACAAGTACGCACGAGCAACAATCTAACAATTCAGGCGTCCCCGCTTGAATCATTCCTTACCTCTTCCAAATCTTACACTCCTTTCACCAACAATGTACAACATCCGTGTAAGTAACCGTTTCGAAACCCTAAGCACGCAAGATACACCTACAAATCCAACATACGCCTCCTCATACCCGACGAAAATCAAAATAGCCCCCATATACATCCACGGTGCCCGAAATCATCCCAACCTCATCAAAACAATCATCACATGCTAAAACATAACAGTTCCAAACCCACAATCAATATAAATACATTCAAGTTATGGTTAACAGAGTAGAATATTACAGAAGACAGACCTAAGGACAGAATCTACAAGAAAACAACCTGAACTATCACACCTACCAGGATCCAAGCAAACAATTGCCGTAGTCATGCGAAATGTAGCAGTAGATTACAGTGAGAAATAATTTGAAGAGGAACTCGTCAAAAGAAACCTACCGGTCCTAAAAGTAATAAGAATCTATGGCTATAACAAAAAACCGAGGCCGTTAGTAGAAAGCCAGCCATAGGTCCTCCTCCGACAGGCGACCAGGCAATACAATAATGCTACAAGAGAAATGTATGCAGTAAGGGAGCAGTTCAAGAATTTTTTCAATGGAGAAGGTGCTGCACGAGTTCAATAAATTTATTAAATTTAAAATTATCCTTGTTATTGTAACCTACTTTTCCCCATTTTTTACCTTGGTTGTAATTGGCCCCATAATCCTCAACCTTCAAAATCACCTAGTACATCATTATTTTGACATATTAGATGCATCCCTGATGAGGGTTCCAATAAAGAATTTTAAAAATATAATGTATTATAAATTTTATCGAACTATAAGCCCATCAATCTCCTCATTAATTAGAATGTTATTGCAACACACATACTGTTTTCACAACTATGTCTATGTTTTGGTTCAAGCTGCAATTCAGTTTTTAGACAGCGCCATTTGGCCAACGAATGTCGAAGGCACACTCGACTGTCCGACGGGCTCGGCTCAATCGGTAATCGAAGACTTGCTGTTCCCAAGTCCTGTTCCTCTCGGGATATGTCATCATCTGATATTTCTTCAGGGGATAGCTGTGGTCAGCAAGTCGTACATGAGGTATCCTCGAACCTCCAGGGACTAGAGGCTTCGGATATGGCATGTTGAAGCACTATTCACTTCTTTCCAAATTTCCCCCCACAATTGAGGAGAAAAATGTCCCACTATCATTGAACCTTCCATAAGCTCCAGTGCCTATTACAATAAATTTGTAACTTGCGCCCACAATTGCTTGCAGGTGGGTGGAGGACATTTAATTCATATGCGTCTCCCATCCCAACAGCCTACATAACTTGGGAAATCCCATTTTATTTTGAATTCAAATCCCCTTTCATGCATTTGCTTTGTTGGAAATGGCATGAACTTGAAGTTGCATTGTCATTTTCATCGTCATTATTTCAGTCAGAATTATATCTGTTTTCTACAGTTCATCACAGGACGCGTCATCCACAATTGCATCTGAGTCTTTAATGCAAGAACAAATTCTGCCAAATATATTTGTTTTTAGAAGATTGCCTGCCTGTAATTTAAGGACCGTTTTTTCTCCTCAACATGTTAAAGCCATAACTTCATTTTCCTTTACAGATCTTGGACGAAAGAATCAGCTGGAATGTAAAGTTGCCCAACTAAAGAAGACACATGCTTTAAATTGAATTTGCTTGAGAAAGGTATTTGTTTTGGAAATATGGCCAAATTGACTTGGCTTCAACATACCTAAATTCGAGCAGATATATAATTTTATTGTCTATGAATTTCACCTCGGTTCCATTATAACATATGCTTCTGTTCAGGGCTATTCATTTGAATTCAAACGTACATTTGGAATTGCTTTGGCAATTCGTTACCATTTTCTTACATAATATTTCCAATTTTTGTGCTTCTTCCAAATAGCCAAATTGTTAACTTTATGTCAAATTTAGAATATGATTAGCTATTTTCGCAAGTCAATTTCTGTGACGTTATATTCAGCTCGTTATATTGTGGCGTTACCGAATTCATTATTAAAAAATATCAATTTCAGTAGTTTTCCAATAGTAGCGTGCCCTCGAGCTGTCTCTCCCGCGCCAAGACCTTATCAACGTGTACGCGAATCCCCTGCTTCCGATTCGCCACGCACAGCTGCGACCCTCCTATTGTGTGGAAGAACCCGCGGGCTACTGCTCCAGCCGGCCGTTGCCCTGTTTACTTATCCCTTTACGATACATACCCAGTCAGAAACGACATAACCACCCCTTCCAGACTCTGCAGCGCAACCCAGAAGCCATTAGTAGGAATTATGTTCACCCGGGCCTACTTCTATGACGCAAGTAGACCCGCACGTGGTTTTGTAAACACGGTGCGAAGCGAGGAAATACTAAGAGACAGAGAATCCTGGAAATTTTCCACCCTAACTCTCTTTAGAATGCCTTGAGCGGTTGGGCTATCCTTGGAAGACCCTTGAAATGAACGGCCCTTGGAGACCCTTGAAATGCATGTAGAAAAATACAAAGTCTTGTGCTAATCTTAGGTTGCCGGCCAAAGTGCCGGGTTCATCCTTAGGTTAAGTTAGAAATAAGTTAGTAAGCACTGCCCCCTTCTTTGCCGCATAAGCCGTAGAGCTGGGGCGATGTACCCCAACAAAAAAATAAACTCCCGCCTCGCCAGGACTACTGGCGGGAGAAAAGTTGGAAAAAAAATCACAGCTAATGACTGGGCACTATGGAGGTGGAGATTGATAGAAAAACACTCTTCTATGAATAACTGCATTGGTTTGTCAATATCGTATGTATTCGTAAACACTCTGGGTCTTACGTTCATGACTGGAATAGTCATAAATATTTACTGTAATAAAATATAATTTGAAAACAAATGGATTATCATATGATTCTACTAAAGCCTCTCGTGCAAAAATGGACTATGCTACAAAAAATATGAACTTTTTAACTAGGCCTACAATACTACTAATTTAACTTCAGAAGCAGACATTACAATGACACTCGAATTAAAAAATATGTACTATTGATTTCTAATTAACATGAGGGACAACAAAATCACAAAGGTTTCATGGCCTGCATTTTCTCAGAATTGGTTGGTGTGGGGTTTGACCATATTTGCTCTGAATGTCTCATATCGTGCACAATTTTTAATTGCATCTCTAAATTTTCACCATCTACACAAGACAAGCAACTGATGTCCCTTTTATATTAAAAAAATTACTTTTCATTAGAAGGCATTTATATGATAAAATCTTCAAAAGATCCAAAATACCAGTCAAAAACTTTAAATTTACCAAGAGGGAGGTATTTGTGAAAAACAAAATTCACAAATGTCAAAACGATTAACAAAGAATTGCGTATGGCGTGACGTCCCATTTCTGCAAATTCCAGCTGACAATTAGCAGAGGCACTGATTCAACATCACTTCTTAACAATTCGTTGACATTATGGTCCCTCTTGGTTACAAGGGTACGCTAATGTCTGGCTTGGTGAATGTCACTGCTATGTCTAATCAATGCAGTCTAAAATAAGTCACTGCACCTGAGAACGTGATGCATCAGCGACGTCAATATTCGGGTCGGTGTATTGAATATCATCGAGGGTAGCAGAGTGCTAGAATGGACAGAGAGGACGAAAATTCTTATAATTCAAGTACCAACGGAAACGGAAACTTTTAGAAAGTATTATCAAAATAATTTGTGATTTCCTAATCAAACGGTTAACTGTTTCTCTCCTCGTCGTACGTCTCTCAAATAACTTCATTTTCCCCCAATAAAATAGTTCATAAGCAAATCATTTAAGAAACTTCAAAGATTGCTGAATGTCAAGGCTTAATAAGTAAACATGCATTGGAAATTATACATAAGGGAGCATTTATTCCAATTGTAACTACTGTGTATCGGCATGGACGCGAGCGAGGCAAAAGGTAAGATGGGAATTGGACAAACCTGCCATCAGCACTGTTGGCAATTACAGGAGGGTATCGCACTGCAGCAACATTGGCATACCTGTGACGGACGAGGAGCTACCCTAACCTATCTGTTCAGCTCGCGGCAGCTAGGTATTTCAAGATGTTAATAAAAACGAGCAATCACTCTAAGTAAATACTCGTTAGCAAAACTTTCGACATTTTGTCCAGTGTGAGAAATTGCCTCTTTTTCATATGTATAAAGTGTTACCCTCTCGTTAGAGTAATACCTCTCGTCAGATGTGCAGAGTTGAGCAAATCTTTCTGGCATCATATATACGAATTATTGACTGTTCTTTGGGCATATTGAAGATACGAGACTTTCTGCCACAAGTGTATTTTTAACGTTGTAGTTAAGAGGTGGTCGTGGAGAGGTAGTTGGTATTTAAAGTTCGGTTTCGAGTATATTTGTTGTAAAATTGCAAATACATGTTATAGAAATGTTAGACTAATTAGCTATTAAGAAGTATAAAAATGTACATAATTATAGAATAACCCAATGTCCACTCAAAAATTGTAAATATTAGATCATAGGAAATTGAGGTTAAGCTATATCAAGCTATTAAGTTATTATGTTAATACTAGGAAACTAATAATAACAACAAAAATTGTAAATATTAGGTTAAAGAAAATTAGGCCTAGGCTAGTTGTAAGTAAGCTTAAATAACAAAATTGTAAAAATTAGGTTAAGGAAAGTAAGCTAGACTAGTTGTACACTGTAAAAACCTGTAAAAAAGTTAAAATAAAGAAAAATCTATTAGCAAACGCGAAATGGGAATGACTAACAAAAACCCTTCTTGGAAATGACACTCATGTGACAACAATATCAAGCGGCTCAGTGTTAAGTGATAAGCGCTCGCTCGAGCGACAAAAGTGCACAAAGCACACAGAGGCACCAGCCGAAATCAAACCAAAGCAATACGTCTCATCGGGACAACCGAAAGGCGTATGTAAGAAATGTAACAAACTCATGATACCAGATCGCGGAAGAGCTCCCCACAGGAGTAGACCGCAAGACCTAATAAACCCAGCTCGTGTGTGTGTGGTGGTGTTTGTGTGTATTTTTGTTGTAAGTAGAAATAGAATTACAGAACGAAGTAGAATTTGTGGATTTGTTAACAGAATACCCCGTGGTATAAACCAAAATTCAGCTTCCTGAGTGCAGACGCCGCAAGGCAGAAGCAATCCGGAATATACAGCAAGCATTTAGCAAACAATTTACCGAGCAGCACATTTTATTTTGAAATCCCGACGGACCTGAGGAAAATGGGGATCAGTCCCACAATTATGAAGGATTGGAAGTAAAATGCACTGATGCACATGTACGGGCAACTTAATCGCGATGGTAAGGATGTTTCACGATCCATTGAAATCACCACCCAACCGTTTATCTATTGTAACGGTACAAGCTCCGGCGTTGGGAAATTTCCATTAAAAAAAACAGACGCCCGCGACGCAGCTGCGAGAAAAGGGGGGTCGTAGGAACTCGCGCCCGTTCGTCTATTGAGACGAGGGTTGTATAAAAGTTTATGGCAGGACACCCCGGCGCCAAATGTCAAGTGGGTGCCGCCTATTCAAGCGACCGCTCGTAAAATGAACCCCAACGCTGAGTGCGCCTTCTCGGGAGAAGAATTTACAACCAAACGGTCAGCGGCGCACGTGCAGGTGCGAAGAAAACAGGCCGATAGTTCTTTACAACAGCAACGGACATTCTGACCGTTTAAGAAAGAGTTCCCGTGTGATTAGTCAGACACACGCCTCCACCCTGTTCCAGGAAATTCAACCCCGCGTATCGGGAAAATACACGTTTTTTGAGGGAGGGGGTACCGAGGCTTGCTGTTACTAGGCCGCCGCTCTGTAGTCATTTGGTTTGTTGACACGGCCATGAGCGGTTACTTAATTTCCGAACTCGGCCACGAGTGGTCGATTCGACTTGGTTTGATAACTCGGCCACGTATGGTCGATTTCGACTAATTTCCTAACTCGGTCGATTCGACTTGACTTTATAATTCGGCCAAGAGAAGTAACTCGATGACTTGACTCGGCCATGAGTAATCAATAGACTTCGATTTGATAGTTCGGTCATGAGTATTCACTTCGCTTGCTCAGCTAATCAAGTAGCATTCGAAGCCTCGTGCGGAGGGAAGTTGATTGGCTTCCATTCATCGCTAATGATCACCGTGGCTGCCTAAGGTTGGTGATGCTGATTGGAGTAGTGGGCCCCAGGAAGCGCGGCGACATCAAACGGCCACGCTGGGAACCCCTGTGTTCACCGCTTCTGCCTGGAAGGGGGCGGCCCGAACAGGGACGTCGGTCGACTACACCACCGGGCGTACCATGAGGCTCGCCTTCAGAAAACGAGGGTAAATAATCCGCTTAGCTCCCGCATAAATGCGGTCGAACACTTGCTGAGCGAAGCGAGAGGGGAAAGAGGGTACCTTCAGCACGAGTAGCCATGACGACCCATTGTTTTTCATTGTATTAACTAAAATAGATGACCATGTCCTCATAAAAGAAAGGGTCGTTTTTTATTTATTAATAATTGTAATTCATCATCAATTTTATTTAGTAAATCTTTGGTAATGCAAATGTTTTGACGATTATTATTGAAATTCCTGTTCCCGTTACAGACACACGAGGGGTTGAGGTTACACTATGGATAGGATATGTAGATGGTGTGGGTATTTTATGCAAACAGGTGATCGTAATTGTTCAAACGGTAGAAATCTACATAGACAATGTCGCAGTTATTGTGGAACATTTGCAATTAATGAACCACCTACAGATTATGCAATATATTTATTCAAAATGCGATTCACTTATATATTTTTGTTATGTCACAGCACACCATGAGTAAAAATCTAGTTTCCAGAAGACTTCTTTACTATTCGAGAGACTACCGGTTCTTCAGATTATCTTGCAGCACACCATGGGTTTGTGCGAGAACTACGAGTGGCAGCACAAGATTGTCAAGATGTTTATCAACAAGACGTGTTTGGGCATACAAATCTTCATGCTAATGCTGATGTGAATGCTACAGATAATTATGGACATACACCTTTGATGTATGCAGCAATGAATGGACAACAACGCATGGTTGCACTCCTGCTTACTAATAATGTAGATTATTTTAGGAGTCATAAATGATTGACAGTTTTCATAGTTTACAGACTGCTCATCCACATTTCGACCTAGGATGAGGGAGGTTGAGGTTATACCTATTGAGGATGTTTGGAAGAGAGCAATAATTTAAATAATTGTAATGTAAAACTTTAACCCCACCACTTTTCTAATAAATTTCATAGTATTCATTCTCGTGTTGTTCTCATTAACTGAGAGTAAGACATCATGGAAGATGAACGATTGTGAAGATGTCCATTTTGTTGTGCAGAATTCTCAAGAGTTGGGTATAGCGTTCTGTATAATATTAATAAAACATGTACGAAATATATAGTTTTACATAAATTTAAAAATGAAATATTTGTTGTACAATCGTCTAAAAAGTTAGCGAGTTCATATTTCTGTAAAAAATGTGATGAATTTTCATATACAAAATCTAGAATATATACAAGATGTATTGAGGATGAAGATGAATAATGTGTATTTAAACGTTGAGATGTGGAATACAAGTATAGGTATGTTGGTATGTGTTTTGTGTTGTGTGACACTCCCGCGCGGTGCGGAAGGAGGGCTTTAGGCCGCTTGCCCACGCCGCGGCAGAAGCGCCCGAACGTCAATCATCAAGGCTCTTCGCCGACCCTCCGGCGACGACGGACAAAGGGACCACAGCAGGTACCTGTTTCGGTCCATTTGTCCGTCGTCGGCGTAGTAAGTTTATTGCTCAAGCCATTTATGATTATTATTGGCGAGAGTGCTACCATATAGTCCCAATGCGTTCTGTAATTTTGCAGGTATTTCTTGAAGTTTCCTGGAGTGTGTTTAATTTTTCTTCCTCTTTGTCCCATTGTTTCTAGTAAGTGTTGTGTTTTTTGTTAATTTCCTGTTGTCAATTTATAATAGTGAATTGTAAATCAGGGTAATATTTCTTTTTCAACTAGTACAATCATGCATAAAGGCAGAAATTATTGTATTGAAGAGAAGAAGATTCTTCGAGATTTGGTGTTATTAAGTTAAAATATTGTGGAAAATAGAGCGTCTGATGTGTCAAAAAGCAGAAAAAAACTGCATAGGAAAAAATAA